GTCTGATCATCTGTCTGTTGATGAAAAGCTGTGCTTAGATCTTATAAGATCTTCAGTATAGTTATCAGATTAGATCAGAACTCTTCTATAAAGATTGATTCTCTGTCTGAGATAATATTCACAGATAATTCATGCAATCAGATCACATTACAGATAAAGATATGAGTTAAATTCTTTAACTTCAAGTTCTTGCAGATGAGTATAAAGTGTGTTATCTTGATAAAGTGATTCACTATTATCAGTACACTGTCAAAGCAGGTATTATATATGTTCTTACTTTCAGAGAGACTTATAAGAGTATTCATTTCTAGCTGTTCTCAAGGTTTCTATGAGATGAGTAGAGAAGTAAGTTCTTTATATAATCTGAACTGCACTATTCATGAATTCTGATAAACAGTATAAGAATTTACTATCTTCTTCATAAGTTCTTGCATCTTTAATCAGAAGTATTTTCTTATAAATAACTCATGAGTTCTAGTATCTGTAAAATAATCTGCTAGAGAAGAGTCATGATATCTTTTAATAAGTTCTATGTATAGAAACTTATTTACAGATATATAAATTCAGCTCTCTCTTTATAAGAGATTATTTAAGTTTCTTCAACTCTTTATTTCTGCAGAATTGATCTCTGCTATAATTTCTGAATATACTGAATATATTCATTCTTCAGTTGCAGTTCAGACAATCTGAATAGAAGATCTTATAAAGACTTATATTCTATTTTCTCTTATATCAGATCTTCTGCAGTGCTTCTCAAAGTCTGCAAACTCTTCAGATTATAGATACTCTCTTCAAGAATTCTTGCAGAGATTCTCAGAGTGTTAACTCTCAATGTTATAGAAAGTAGTTGTACAGGCTTCTTCTCTCTCTTTTTCTTCTTCTCTCATAGAGAATTAAAAGACTCTTCAGTCAATCTCTTCATAATACTCAGTCTGAGTATCTTACAAAGCTTTTCTGTCTTCTCTAGTCTCTCTATATCTATTACTCTGATCTTCTTAATATAGTCTGATCTGTAAGAGAGTCTGTCTGCTGAGTTCTTAGTTCTCTTGATATATTCTATCTTGAATCAGAACTCACTCAGTCTCTGAGCTCAGTAAATCTGCTGTTATAAGAGTTTCTTAATTGAAGTAAACTATTATAAGCTATTATAATCAGTTCTAACAGTAATCACTGTTACAAGATTCTTAAAGTAGTGATATCAGTGATAGAAGAATTTCACTATTATAAGAAGCTTCTAATCATAGATATTATAGTTGATCTTCACAAGTTATATCTTCTATAAGAAAAAGATCACTGAAACTCAGTTCTCATTTAACTGTAGTTATAAGACTATTTCTGAAATTATAAAGAAGAAGACATCTGTCTTCAATCTGATTAAGAGTAAGAAATCAAAGTGAAATAGTATTACTGTATCTATGAATATCTGTTTTAATCTTATAAAGACTCTATGAGCTTCTGAGATAAGAAAGTTCTCACAGTTCTCTCTTCTTAATAATCTTTTTATTCTTTATTCACAGAATAACTTCTTCTTATTTTCACTCTTCAGCATGTCTGTAAGAGTTAAGAAGATTCTTATAAATACAAAGATAAATTATCTATAGAAATTCACAAAGCTTAGAAAGATCTGAATCTCATGAATACTAGTTAACTCTGATTATAATAGAATAGTCTCAATCTGTGAAGATTTTATCTGAATATTATCTGCAGTGATTATATATTCTAGGAAATTAATTCAGCAGACACTGAAGTTATACTTCATAAGTTTAATATACAGTTCTGTCTCATCTAAGATCTTCAATATACTTTATATATACTCAGTATATTCTTTCTTCTTCATGAAGTACACTATCACATTATTCAGATATATTATTACAAAGACATTCAGATATTCATGAAGTATTTTATTAATGAAAGACTGAAATACTGTGAGAGTATTAGTCAGATTAAAAGACATCACTAGATATTTAAATAATCTCAGTGCAGTTCTAAAGACAGTTTTTTATTCATTCTCAGACTGTATTCACAGCTGTATATATATATTGATTATATTCAATTGTGTGAATATAACAGCTCTTATAAGACAGTTGATTACATTCTCAATCAGAGACAGAGAATAGTAGCTCTTTATTATCTTGAAGTTCAGATTATAATAGTTTACATACAATCTGAGATCTTTATTCTTCTTCTTTATAAATATTACAGAGACTTTCACAGAGATCTGTGAAGATCAGATAAAGTTATTCTTCAGATTCTTCTTTATATAGATCTGTAAGACCTCTGTCTCATGATAAGAGAGCTTATAGATTGATTCTTAGAAGAGTTTCTACTCTTCTATCAAATCTATTATCAGATTCTTCTTATAATAAGAAGAAAGCTCAGCTGTCTTTACTGAGCTGAATATCTCTGTGAGATCTCAGTATTTCTCTGATATCTGAAGCTCAGTTTTCATGATTATGAGATTCTCAGACACTTATAAAGTTATTATATAGATAAGCTTATCTTCTCTAATCAACTCTGCAGTATTAACTAATTCTATCTTTATAAGTGAGTCTGTTAACACTGATCAGAAGTATAAACCTGACTCACAGACAGCTATGTATAAATTGTGTCTTTAAAGTTATATAAGTCTTAAGTATATATTATCTGTAATATTCATAATAATCACAGTTTCTGCAAATCTTCTTCAGATTTCAGAGAGATCTTATAATTCAAAGATAACTCTTATAAGTCTTCCAGCTCTCAGATCTGAGTTCTCATATTCTGCTTATTATAAGAGTAGATTCTCAGTCTTTATCTTTCAGCTCATTCACTCTGTGAGCTTTAGAGACATCACAGTGACCTGAGATTCTAAGTTCATCAATACTTTTCATACTTGTAAGACAGCAGTACTGTGACACAGTCTCTCTCTATAAGTAAGCATTTTCATCAGAGAAGCAACAGATTCAGATATCAGCTTTAAAACTCTTAAGAAGACTGTTACTGACTCTATCTATAACTTCTCAAATTTCTATTTTAATTTATCTGAACAGTTTGTGTGAAGATATTCTAATTTAGAATAGATAAAGCAGAGTCTCTTTTTCTTAGTCTCTCTATTATATACTCTATTTACAGAAGCTTATAAAGCTCTCTCTCTCTACTTAGTAGTCAGATACAAATCTCTCTATATCTTATCATCTTTTTCTGATAAATCTGTTCTCTGTTATTCTAGTTCTTACAGAGCTGATCAGTGATTCACTCTTCACAGATTTATGACTCTCACAGTAATCTGTAAATGATGAATAAGAGTCATCAGTTTCTTCAGAGTTAAGAGCTTAGAGTCTTACTCAATGAGCTTCTTCTACATATCTTTATTCAGTCTCTTTATAAATATCATTATTCAGGTCTTGTTTCAGAGCTCTGTTTTCACAGATCTTAATTCATACTATAATTTTATAAAGTACTGTAAGTAATCTTTATCAGATTTCTCATCTCTTTTTCTAATATTAATAATTACAGCTCAGATATTCTCTATTCAGCTTACAGAGTCTCTTAACTTATTCTCTAGATAAATCTTGAGAACAGATTAGCAGAATCTCTTATAATCATTCTCTAGATAATTTAATCAGTTCTTGACTTCAGTGTAATAAAGATCTGTCATTATATAGATGACAGCTTCTTCATCTTTTATATCACACAGTCAGACTTATAAGTCAATTTTAAATACAAACTTGTAAAAGCTTTTATAGATTGTGATTTAATAGATAATCTTAAGTGATCACAGCTTAAGAAAGTTTCTTTTCAGTTTATAAATATCTCTGAAGATTATGTCTAGAGACTCAGTTCAAAAGTGTTTACAGACAGTAAGTATTTCTTGTAGAAAAATAGCTTGATTTTATAAGAGATACTCAAGAATGTTCTTTACTGAGATTAATTTATTCATGAGTTCAGAGAGTTTCTCTGTCACAGATACAGAGAATAATATTTTATAAATAATTAATAAATTCTCTGAAACTTCTTTTATAAGAGTTATTCATGATTCAGATGACTGCTTCTGAGTGTCTGCAGTAGAGTTTGCAGAGATTAAAGTATATAAGTTTCTAGTTCTTTCAGTCATAATAAGTAGTTGCTGACTGACTGAGCTTGAAATGTAAGAATAAGTGCTCACAGATGATTATTCAGATGTTTACAGCTTAATGTAATATGTACTGTTAACTACTAGAAGTATTCATGATAGAAAGATAAAATATAGAGATTAAATGTATAATAGTATTCAAGCTGAGTTATGAATAGTATTCATGAACTTCAGTCTATATAGTTGTGTGTAGTCAAGGACTGCTAGCTCTATTGATTATGCAAGAGATAGAAATAGAGATAAAGAATCTGTGAGAAGCGGGATTTCTTACATTGAAAGAGAAGTATAATTTAAATTAATTAAATATAAAATTCTTATTCTCAACTGAGATAGAAATTAAATACTTAATAGACTTTCTATCAGAAACTCAAGCAGTTATAAGAAAATAACTGAATTCAGAAATATCTGAATATGAAGAGATGAAAATTAATTAGATATAATCTATTAAAATAATTATATACTATTTTTTAATAATTTTATTTTATTATAGTCTCTTTTTACTTTATCTTTTCTTTTCTATTCTTTTTTATCTACTTATTTAATATATCTATCTTTAAGACTTTATTCTCTTTTCTTTTGTCATGATATTTTCAAATGATTTCAAAGTATTAGAAGATGTTAAAATTAAAATACTGTAATTTATAAAGAGTTTTTATATTCTGAGCTGAAATTTTCTGATTTTACATATTTAAAATTGATAAATGTATAATAGTTGATGTTATAGATATTAGAAAAACCCTGAGAACTAAAAGTTCTCAGGTAGATGTCATAGTCTCTGACTGCATACATCTATAATTGAAGAATAATAATAATAATAGACGTTCCAACAAACTAGTGAGGTCTGCTTACATAACGAGGCCGCGTGGCTTACTTATACGAACTTTTCTCAGGACAAAATAGGCAAAATAGAACCAGAAAACTTGGAGCTTCTCTCTCTCTCTCTCATCATCAAGATTATCTGAGAAGGTATCTGAAAACTTTGCCGATGCAGATGCACATAAACTCAAGGAAAAGCTGGTTATAATTCAGATATTTTGATTACTTAAACTCACCTCAAAGCCCCCTTCAACAAACTTGAAAATGGGACAGGATTTTTGCCTCATTGCACCTCGTCGTCGCGAAAAGCTAAGTTGGAATTGCAGACCTGGTGAGGACCTGTTCAATGGATCTGCATCCTCTCTTGTTTCCCTTTTTGCGACACCCATTATCCCCCAATCTTATGACGGGAAGAACAGTCACAGAACAGTCCTACCCAACCCAGGGAAAACTATTCCTCAGAAAAGGCGACTTGAGCCAGACTGTCTTCCTGTTATTATGCCATTGACCCGTGCTCCGGCGTGCACAACTGAATCTGGATCTATCCTCATTCAGCTTCCCACCGAGATCCATTACCATATTCTCAACTTCTTGGACGTGGAAGATGTCTTTCTTTGTGGTCTTAGCTGTCGGAGGCTATGGACCCTCGTGAGACCGGTAATCGCAAAACATTTTTCCGGCTACTTGGGTGTTTGGGCGGGAATTCCAGTCATTTGTGTGGGTCAGGACAGCGGATCCGGTGGCAATGCCCAGCATCCTGACGGCATGCTGTCCTCAAACGAATTGAATGAATTGGATGAGGGCCTGGAATTTGAAGAATTAGAGATCGAGCTGGGCGACAAACTGGCGGAGGAGCTGGCTGGTAAACCTGTCAATTTGTATGACATTGCTGACGCTCGATACACCGGCATCACTGAAGTCACATCGAGTTTTCCGCACGATCTATTCGGCCTCGCCCTCGATCTTCGCCACAAACACCCTAGTCCGATAGATATAGTTCAAGTGGCACATCCAACGCCACAGAGTTACTATCCATGCAATGAGGAATGGGTTCTCAGAAATCTGACAACGCATGAGTTTGTTCGACCCTCAGCAGTTGCATTAGATGAGAAGTACATTAAAGGCCCGTTTATCGATACACTAGGGTACGGTGAAGTTATCCTCTATAAGACTTGCTGGTCAACATCCGATTATTCATTGATTCAGGGAAAAGAGATGCATCGAGGGGTTTGGGCTGGCCACGCACTCGATATAGTCACCGCGACCCACTTAAATGGCGATGCTTCATGGAAAGATATTAGTGATGAGATTGCACAAGAGATCTCGGAAATTTGGGAAGAGGTCTATGGGGAAAACTGGAAAACTGATCTGGTCAAGGAACGGCGCCGCTGGTAACCTATTTTCACCCTCGCCTGTGATTTTGGATGCTGTATTTTTAAGAAGACGCGGTTCAGCATTCAGCTACAGTAAAAGATATGAATGAGGGGATATGCACAGGGTCTACGTTACATCATCAGTAGATGTCCGCGGATCTGATCCCGGGCTGCCGAGTGGAAGGACGAAAGGCCTTCGCTGACTACTCTGACGGGCTACAGGCGTTTTATGCAAGAAAGGAGATCGCGCAGGGATGGTGGACCGTACTCTTATTTCTTTCTCAGTCTCTTTTACTTCTTTGCGTCAAGTCTTGACATCAATAGAATCTAAATCTCGTTATTAACTGATTATACCTAAGGAATCCTCACAGGAACTATCATCACCTAGTTATGCCAGATAAGAGACTAAGAAATAAACTATGAGAGGTCTCTATCATCAACTCTTTGAGTTCTCAAATCCTCTACCCTACACTCGATCAAATCCAGACCTAAATCATCATCGAATTTCCCTACCATCCACTCAAACTAGCGCCTAGTGTCAGTATAAAAGAAAGGAAGCAGGGGAGAGGAAAGGAAGAGCTCCACGATCAAGATATGATTTTGCAGCATGTAATAATATTCCTCTCTGCTTGAAAAGAGGGTGTTGTGATTCTATAACTATGATATTAATTAGCGTTACATAACTGTCCCTTGATCCATATTATATTATCCTTTCCATTGCTCAAACTACAGTAAAGCCTGTTTTCGATAAGCAAATCTTAGTTCGTCTCATAGGATCACACAGTGACAATATACAGGACTCAATGCATGACCCAATACATGATATTATTATCAGTAGGTATATGAATTAAAAGAAAGTTATATACCAGAATGCAACCTATACTACCCGCCGCATGCAATGCTCTGTTCAGCTCTCTCGAGTAATAACTTTCCCTTGAGTAATGTACAGCTTAGTATCATCTCCTACGGCTAACGACATTGCATCCCTTCAAAAATACCATCTGACCCTTGCCTAGGATCATTGTAACGCGGTTTTCTAGGACGCTCTCAAAATCCATAGCTGGATCAAGAATTGGTGAAGATGGATGTAGTCCACAGGGGCTATAAGGCTTGCTGCGAGTTTCTCAGCAATCTTGCCCAGGCAGCTGAGTAGGCTGACTACCCTCTAGGCATTAGCCTGTCGGGCATTTCTCAGTAGTATACGCCTGGCAACCTTCCAGGCGTCCGCGTGAGCTCCCAGGCGGAAGCATTGCCTGGCAATGGCCACCAGGCACTCCGAGTCAAAACCCCAGAGCCGCTGAAGACCCTTAAAATTGAGCCTGTCATTCCTGGGGCCTTCTTAGTGCTCTGACCAAACAGAGCCTTATCAACCCGCTCTGGTGTTATTAGGGCATGAGCTTGTACCCCCGGTAGCTGCCTAGGGACTCCATCGCCGGGGGTATTCAGGAAGGCTAAGCCCCTAATACGGGCTTCTTTGTTGGTGACGGTGGTGGTTGGGCTGGCTGAATTGGGTCCCTGGAGCGCTGAGTGGCATCCCCAGCTGATGGCTTGGTATAACGTAGGGCCATCCAGCAGCGGTCAGGATCCGGGGCTGAGGATCCCATTGAAGAATCACCCCAAGAAAGCCTCCCATCATGTGCGTTTGGTAGTCTATATGGATTTTCTAGCTCGTCGTACCTCAATGATATGATCGATATCAGCCTGCTTTGCTTCAAGCAACATGCCCTCTCCCCATGGCGTGTATGCTGGTGTGCCGGGTAAGGTTGTTCGTCACCGGATTGACTTGGTAGTCTCATGGAATCCAACCTCAGAGGTTGGGTCAACCTTCCGTCTGGTATACCTGTAGAATCTTTGTCCTTCTCTTTATCCTGCACAAAGCAATGTTGAGAAGGTTGGTTTCCCTTCTAAAGCCCTGCTATTCTAAGCTGTAATCGAGCCAGTTCAAGCTGCATGGCAAGCTTTGACTGGTGCTCCAGGGTCGTACTGTCCTCAGTATCCCCATTGCCTGTTGTGAAGGACTCGCTGCCGTCTGTTTAGTCATTCAGGGTTGTTCGGGGGTTGGGAATATTCCCGCTCTGTCTTCTCCCTGGCCACATGGCTCAGGGGTTCAGTGCTTCATTTGTGAGTTGTTTTGATGGTCTACACCAGGCAGGTCAATTCCACGTCCTGTACGCATGGTTCAGTAGGCTTCCTATATATCCTACAGGTCTTCCAGTTGCAATGTTCGCCCGGCGGATGGTTATCACTCTTGGGATCTTAGGGGAGGTCTTGGGCTCTGAACGCCTAAAGATAAGCCTCCGGTCCTCCTTATTCCCCCCCTTAGCAGGCTTAAGATCAGCAGGCCTGCCAGTGTCTGACTGAGCACCTCCAGACGCCTTCTTGGAGGCCCGGTGCTTATTACTATCTCTCTTCCAGTCACTCTGCTATCGCTATGTCTGCCCATCTAGGCTGCACTGAGAGGAGCCCTGGGGGTGGTCCTGACACCCGTAGTTTGGGGGGGTACAGCTCCGCTGAGCCCTGCGCTAGCGGCTCCGCTTGGTGGTCTGTGCATTGTCTTGGCGCGCAGCCCGTCCTAGGCGAGAAGACGCCATTGGGGGTGCTGCGGGCGCCTGGGGGGTTTTCGCTGCTCAGAAGGGAGGTCTCGGGGGTCAAAGAGGGCCAGCTTGGCCTCTAGAGCTTCCAACTGAGTGTTGGCTTGAGTTTCAAAGGCTGAGAGGCGCCCCTCAAGGGCTTCCATGGATGTACCAATCTCGCTTCTAAGGACTTCGAATTCCGCTCTCAGAGCCTGCTCTAGGCCTGAGGCATATGACTTGAGGTTGGCTTTAATTTCCTCTCTGAAGGGGGTGAGAAGTTTCCCTCTGAGGCTTCCAGGGACTTCATAGGGTTTCCAGGGCGTGTGCCTCTTTCTGGGCTTCATGAGCACCCGGGAAGGCGCCACGGTGGTGCCCGTGCGGAGCCCAGCTTCAAGCTCCATTGAGGGAGTGGTCAGTTGCCCCTGTAGAGTTCCTGGGCTCTCGGTGCCAGGCAAGGGGGTTCCGGTGGTCGTTGGTGGTGTAGCAGGCCTGGGGGTGCCTGTGTGAGGGCTTCGCCAGCCACACTGGGCATCATGCCCACGCCCCCGAAGGCTAGGGGGGATATTCATTCTGTACCTCCGTGACATGGAGCTGCGCCCCTTTACTTCCTTTCCCCAAGGTTCATGCAACTTGATCATCCGTTTTCGATTGTTCGAGGCTGGCGATGGTGGTTGTGATCGTGATGCTCTCTTGGCCTGCATCTGGAGTGAAAACCTGGAGAATCTGGTTTTCTCAACTCTTCTTTTTAAACCATTTACTTTTCTCCCTTCCACGTATTTTTAGCAATTCATTTATTATTATTTCACAGCCATTACAATCATGAACAAGAACCAATTATTTGCCCAGGTGGGCGGCGAATCATTACAACAGAGAAACAACACAGCGATGCTAGAGATGTGACTGCGACATTGCACCCAGCTCAGTCGCCAAATTACCACCATGTAGAGCCGAACCCTTGAGGAATTATATTCAACATCTATGACGTTGCGGACGAACCTCTTGTATCAACTCATTACTATTTTTAAAATTCACCATATATCTCTTTATATAATAATTATTATTATTTAAATTGTGGTGGGAATCCGCCCCTTCTTCATATGGAGGAGTGCTTCCGCCCTTTCTTCACTTGGAGCTCTCGCTCCACCCCTGCTCCTTCTTCTGCTATTCCCGCGAATGCTCCTTCCACTTGGCCACTGTTATTGTAAACACGTACACGTGTACTCTGTATATATATATATCTATATATAAAGGCGTTCGCCCCCTATCTTTTAGAAGAATAGACATGGAGTCACATGAATATATATCCTTTTCGCTATAGGCATCTGGGCGTACACCACATAAATTCTCTATTAAATTCTTTATAGAATAATATATATTTTATATTATAACATGCCATGTTATTTTTCCCAGGAAGGGCCCAGTCATGGCTAGCTCTACTCTTGGGGGAATAATCCCCATTCTCTATTTTTCAGAAAGAGCGTGCCCCAGCTTCCCCTATTCTTTAGAAAGAACATGGCTCAGTCATGGCCAGCTTTATATCTCCTATTCTTCACAGAGGCATGGGCCAGCATCCTCCATTCCTCGACAGGGCAGCCCGCCATATTTTCATGGAGGGAAACGCCAGCATCCCTCTATTTCTTCCCCGAGACATATATTAGCCATGTAGGGCCACTGCCACTCTTTTCGTGCTGGACAGTGAGAATCGTGAGTCAATCATGCCTATTTTATGTGAAAAGTTTGATTACACCATCTTCTGAGACCATGAGACAATGTGCTGGCACAGAGCTTACTTCTGGAACATCATCACTAGACTCTAGATCCCCCAGTCAAAACAAGTTACAGATGTTCCATCCATCCTCGTAGGAATGATAGCAAACAAAGCATCTGCATTGAGTGTTTCTGGCATGTACATAGACAAACAATTCATAAACTGCTAGTCCTCCACTCTCTTGTTCCTCTTTCCATAATTTGCTCACCATTAGCACAGTGTGAAATGGTTCAGGAGGGTTTTTGATCATGTCCTGCCTCACATAGACTATCCATGTTAGTCACCACATTATCCTCGCCATCAGATGTTCCACCAGCGTGTCCATCGGTCCCTTCTCATAACGATACACAAGTGATAAATGTGGTGGATAGTCATTCAGTCGTGCCGTAGGGCCGTGCCAGTGTACTATAAAATGTTACTGGAAGGACTATGTGGCATGAACGAGACTCCTGTTGTCGGGACCAAACTGATGAGGGTGGGCTTTTTCGTTATTCACGCGTGACACGGTTGGATTCGATCAAGTGCAGTAGAAAAGGTATGCTTCATCAAGTTTCCCTTTTGCACAATCGGCTTGCTGCAGTAGAGATAATGAGATTAAGAATGGATGTGTGTTGGGTGCGGAGCACTTACTAAACAGTCCCGGAAGCCAAGCACTATCTCCTCCTCCTCGTCCAAAAGCCGTTTTTGTTCGTCAGTGACTGGAATGTTGTAGGTCTCTGCTCGATCAAAATCTATCCAAACAACTCTTTCTGAATCGTCTTTGACAACCATCATGTTCCTAGGTTTTGGATCCCTGTGCCGTACTCCTGCCCCATGAATCTCCTGTAGGCCTTTGATAAAGTTGTCCATTCGTTTCTGTGAGTAGTTGTGCAGATGAATCATTTCAAGATTCGGTATGTACTCCAGAAAGATAGCGCTGGGAAGGTATTTATCATGAAGGAACATTTTCAGGTGAGGTTGAAACGGTTGCGGGTCGAACTTCTCCATCATTCCAATGAAATGAGGGACGACTCCACGTCCACACAGCCCTCGCTCCTTTAGTCGTTGATAGGCGGCGGACTCAAGCACATGGATATCCAACTCACGATCTTTTGGCTCGTAGTACCGTCGTGGCCCTCGACCGTGATGCTGTCACCATCAGCATCAGCACGCAGGGATATATGGAGGATCTGACTTACCACCTTCATGACACATATACGGCCACGAACCATGACAAGGAATATCACGGAATAATCGGAAGCAAAAAGCTTTTCCTTGAAAATAATTTCGGAAGATTTGATATTGTTAAACTCCATCATTACCCAGTATCGCCAAGCACTGACCCAGGCCAACTGGTAATTCTCAACACGGTTTTCTTCTTACAGATCGTGAATTGGTCGTCTTCCAAAGAGTGGATGACAACGGCAATCTTGAGCTTGTTCCACCCATTCCATTCGCATCCAGAGGTACCGCTGAACACCCCAGGATGCAGGATGGACAACGGTGGTTGGCACTTTAATCCTGCGGGATAGTTAGTTCTGGAAGCCACTAGTTACACCAAAATAGGTTGCTGCGAGAACCTTGAACCTTCTTTTGGTGGCACGGGTAGAATTCAATTTTACATATATAACTTACCTTTCATCTTTCAACTTATGGTAGAGTTGACAACGCCATCTTTTCCCTCTATGATTTCAAGGAACAATTTTATTGCAATTTTTACAAGTGGTAACTGATGGTCCTTTTTTCACTGGACCTGGTTGAAGGATTCTTTGCAGAGTGAAAACTTTACTAGGAAAACTGATATTTGATCCATATGGATTTGCTATTTCTGGTCTAGTGCTCTGAGATCTCTCTCTAACAAGGAAAGCTCCTCTAGCAATTTCCTTGAATGGTATGTATGTCCATGAATCTTTAAGTCTAGCTCCCTGTTAATCCCAGCGAGGAGCTTTAATTCGCACTCAGAATTGTTTCCAGATATGATTTAGATTTATAGATAGATACTTTGCAGTGAACGTATTAGAAACAATGGAGGGCTATGGTTCATCTAATTGACATTTCTACGTGTATAGGCTCCTAATAGGGTAGAAACAGAGATCATTAAAACATACAGAGGGATTATGGTGTGATGGACGCGTTCCAACCGGGCGGGAATGGGGACGCGGGGCGGTGTTTGCAGATCGAGATAAGAGATAACCTGGATGGCTACGGGTGGTCTGGGCTCACCGTGCTATGGACGAAGTATGCGTGGCTCTAGGGTTCCATCTTGCTCTCAAGGACCACATTGCAGCCGCGGACACCTGACTGTGTCCCCAGGCCTGATCCACTGCAGATGTTTTCATTCAAGGGGAGGTGCTTGGTCACCCCACCATGGGTAGAGAACTTATCCAGACAGATGAAGCAGTACTCTGTAGAGTGGCCGATGATCCTTCATTACCATCTCAGATACAATCTCCCTCTGGCTGGGAGGCAGAGGAATGTGCATCTCCACACAGACCCTCTTCTGAAGAACCTGGGCGGTTAGATCTCTTGTTGTGCGGCAGTCAGCAGGTATCCCCCTCCACAAAGAGGCAGTATGCCACAACAGCATCAATCCCCTCAGTGCACCAGAGCATCTCATCCCACGTCTAGTTTCCTAGATTCTTCAACATATATTTTACCATGTCACTGGCCTGGTGGAGGCTTTCTCTCCAGACAGTTTTGCTGATGCGCTCGTCCAGGTTCGCAGAGAACATTCAACAGTGATGCTTCCTGGGGAATTATTTTAGCAAGTCAAAGTGCACACCAGAGCTTGAGCTGCCGGGTGATCTACCATTCATTGCTGTTCATCTGCCATGCAATCTTTGTTAATAGACTAGAGCAGAGAAAAGTACAAAGGAACAAAAACTTACACAAAACACATTCGGCCCGAACAAATCCAAGCAACCGAGCAACAACAGGTGCTTGCAAGAAATCATTTTTCCTCTGCAGTACGGAGTGCACAATGACCGGATCCGCTATCCTATTTTACAGTTAGAAAACCCGCCTTTGCTCCTTTTTCCCACGTCGCGAAGGCCAACTTGCCAAATCGTGCCTTCGTCAGGGTTAACAACGGCAAAAATATTCCCCAGCCGATCATGGAACTCGCGTTTTCTGCGGAACTCCCAGCCATGTTTCACGACATCGAGACGGTCATGGAGCCACGCTGGAAGATATTTTTGGAAGAATGGCTGTAGGGGCTGTCCGAGGATCATCCATGGGATACTTTTGGCCGGCACTGGCGAGACGATGCTGGGAAACCCGGTCCGACGAGCATGGATATAAGACCTCACAAAGGATATCGATTTGATATGCGAGACAAAACGTTGCCACGGCTGACAGAAGAGTAAAAGCCATACCCTCGCCAGCTTTGTGGGGGGAGGGGGGGCTTTAGGTCAAGGTAGAGGTAGAGGTAGACAAATTTCCACCTCCAGTTAAGCTCAAATGTAACTAAAAATCTAGGTTGAAGGTCTCCCCGCGATGACCGCCTATATTTAGCGCCTGAAGTTACAATCTTGAAGCTATTTTTAGGCGAAAATATAATATTGCTAATAGTTAACTACACACTAAAGTTCTTATTAATAAAATTTCTATGCAACCCTACTGTCATGCTACATGCTAACTGTGCCATGCTTACTCACTCTCTGTAGTGAGTGCGCCACAGTGTATGGAAAACCACACTGTAAAGAAAATATTTTCAATATCTTGTGGTTCGGAAGAACATACGACCGTCGGATAATAACGCGGCCGCTTCCAAACTTGCTTACAAGTGTAAAGGGGCCATAGCGGCTGCTAATTAATTTAGTGTATGATATATAAGAAGCTGGTGTACACCTGTAATCATACACTGGCTCAAGCAACCTTTGAATCACATCTGATAGCATGTCTAAAAATCAGTGAGAAGTGCAGGCTTCTTCAGAGTGTGATAATTCTGTCTATGAAGTGATTCATAGTTATCATGTCAGTGTAACGTGGCGGAACCGCAGCGGTGGCTAGTCGGCGGCGTCACGTAGGGGTAGTTGTTTGGGAAGCCGTATGAGTGGGCTTGACTATCTTGCTTGAATAGCGAGCTTGTAGGCTACAGGATTATTGCAAGGATATCACAGATATGATACTTAGTATACTAAGAAGATTGTATGAGACACACAGTAACTCTCATATATATTTCAGTAGAAGAAAAAGAAATGAATCACTGACTTCTTTGATAAGAAGTCAGCATCTAGCTATTCTATACAGACAATGAATGAATACTCTTCTCTCATTTCATGAGTGAGAATAGCTGAAGTGATACCTCAGCAGCACCTTGTTATTAAGAAAGAGTAATCTGCTGATCTTGTATAGAAGTGAGATTCTTATATTTATCAATCAGATCTTTCTATAATATATCTGAATAATGTTATAGAGTGATTGAAAACTGATTCAGATAGAATAAAATTATCTGTATAAAAGTAATAAGCTGTGTGAAACTGTAGCAGAGTCTTAGCATAACTGAGAGTGTGATAATACTCTTCTCTTTAAAAACATAGTTCTGATACTCTTAAGATTACTGAATTAGAAATTATCTTTATTATATAGCAATAGTTATTAACTGATTTAATACTATATATACTGTGTGTAATATAAAGAATTAGATGAGTTTTTCTACTGACTGTGTAGATCTTTCTTTTCTCATCTTTATTTAAATTAAATATGTGATAAGTGAGTTTCTTATATATTAATTTAAAATGTGAAAAATGTAGTTAATAAGTAACTTACAGATCTCTTAATATATTTCATTCTATATATAAAATTCTCTGTAAAAGTGATGTATTTTAGAGACAAAGTTAACAGTAGTAACAGAATTTTTTTAAAAAGATCTCTCTCTCTGTGAAATATTTTTCTTTTCTCTCTCTCAATTGTAACAGTGAGTGTATGAGAGTATCATTCTTAAAGAATAATAAAGGACTTATTCTGACATTTTCTAGTGAATAAATGTCTTTGTGATGCAGCAGCAGCCTCTGTGACTGTTAAGAAAGTCAGATTGAAGATGAAGATGACAGTGTCAATGAGTCATGAAAGCATCACTCTTATTATTACATCTTCTTCTTCTTCTTCTTCTCCTGCTTCTCTCACAGCTGCAGTGATAGTCATCATGTCTTGCAGTGAGATGTTATTTCTTCTACTAGCTGATGTATTTGTATCTGATCTGTTCTCTGCTCTCTCTACTGCTGTTGCAATGCTGCTCTCTCTCTCAATTAATACAGTGATATATGACTCTATGTGATCATTTAAAGAGAAATCTGAGAAGAGCTTGATTCTGAGAATAGTGACTCTGAGAAGTCTAATCTGTAGTTTCTCTCTCACAGTATATCTGAGCTCTGCTCAGAATACTGCTAAGTTGAGTCTGTAAATCTTATAGCTCTTATCTTCTCTGTGAGAAAGACTCTGATGCAGTCTTTGACTGACACTGTTACTTGTCTATACTGTGTTAAACAGCTGAAGAAGAGAGAGATTTTATATATTCACTTCTTCTCTCACTCTCATTATTTTTATTATATCTGTAATAATAACTTCTATCTCTCTGTAAGTATTACTTCATAGAAAGATATTATATTAATTCTAATAAGAAGTCTAGATATTTAAGTAGTATAGAGTAAGAGTCTCAGAGCTTTAAGTATTAATAGATTCTATTAAGACTGAGAAGATCTCTCTTACTTATTTATAAAAGAAGATAAAAGTATGAATCTTTAAGATGAAAAAATATCTCAGAATGACTAATCTTAAGAAGAAATCAGTTAGTATTACTATTAAAAGCACTACAGAGATTAATTATTAATTAAAGAGAATCTCACTTCAGTTAAAGTAGATAACTGAGATACTTTATAAGTTAATAAGTTAATACTTTCAGTATCTCTTATACTCTTCTGCAGCATGCTTCTCTATAGTACTATAGTACTAACTTCTTAATAGATAAAGATACTAATACTGAAGACTTTAACAGTGAAGAATAAGTTTAATAAGAATATAATTATTAATAAATAGACTCTGAAGTTCTTTCTTTTTACTTTTTCAGTAGACTACAGTCTCATTAAATTAGCAGCAGTCTGCAGATTAATTAATATTAATTTTTTTTATTAATTTTAAATATCTCTTTCTTTTCTTATTAATTACTTCAGGAATTTTATACTTGTATAGTCTTATTAAACTTTTAAAAAACTCTTTGAGAGAAAATAGAAGAAGAGTACTATAGAATCTATAAAATACTAACTTATTATTATAAGATTATCTCTAAAAACTTCTTTAAGAAAAAATAAGAAATCTTAAGTAGTATTTCTTACTTAATATCTCTGATATATAATAGAGAAGTCTCTATTAGTTATCTTATAGCTTATAATCTCTTTCTCAGTATTTTTTAAATACTTAAGCAGTTCTCATGAATTCTCTGATAATAGATAATTTTCTTATTTAATAAGATATTAAAGCTTGCTATAATATATTTATTTATTCAATATTTTCTTTATAAGATATTCAGTATCACTCTTAATCTTAATATTATCTAATCAAGATAGCTCTGCTCTGAGATATTACTTATAGAGTTTTAAATAGAAAATATAAAAAATAGAATGAATTAATTTCAATTCTATAAGT